CGTAGCTGTTAAAATAATTGTCAAAGTACACCTTATGGTTTTTATCTTCCAATCCCTCACAGAATTTTCTGACAACATTGCCTCCTAAATTAGTCTCCACTTTATTTCCGACTTTTCCTGAATATATATCGAAATCTAAACAATAGCCAGAAGAAGCACACTTCGCCCACACCTTGTAACCCCTTTTTATTGGCTTTTTCGGCATATACTGCTTCAAACAGCTTCTACCTTTAAATTTTATCATTGATTCGTCAATAGCAATTTTTTCTGTGTGATTGTAATTTTTCTTGTAAGATTCTCGTAGCATTTCTGTGAAAGGACGTATCTTATACAACTTATCGTAATCGGGATTGTTTCGTGAAGGCAACAGATTATTGTCATTTAGATGTAAATTTCCAAGAATCCATGAAAAACGGCTGAGTGACATAAAATGTGATATGTATTCGTCACGCAAATCAGGTGAGGATGACCAGTAGTCTCTATAGCTTGGACTTTTTTTCACGCCCATTACTAAGTTCACAGCAATAAAAACCGACATCTCATCTGCAGCAACTGGTTTATAAGTACCTCCTTTTTGTTCCGCATATAGATTTGTGTGAAATGTTACGTGTTGCATAATGTCATCCGTCCAAAGCATATTGAAAATTTTCAGGGTGGTCATCTGTTGGCTTGCAGCTAGACTAGTTGTTTCGTCCGGCAAATTGCTTGAAGGTGTAAAGTTATCAGGAGCTAAAATTGTATAAGCTTTCTTCCATTTTGGAGGCCGCACGGTTTGGGCCAGTAGCGGAACAGCTTGGGTAGCGGGTTGAATACGTCCAAGCAGCTGGGATAATGGAACTTCGTCCTCAGAGTCAAACTCCTCATCCGATCGAAAAAGATCCTCACCTAGTAATAACTGTTGCTCACCTTGAGGGATTTCTTCGATTTTAGATTGATCTCTATCAGATCCATCACCACCCGCAAAGCTATCAGTATCTGAAGGTATTTCTTCATACATCAATAGGTTTTCAATTTCCTTATCCGATAAATTTTTCTTGGCCATTTCCTCTAAAAAACACACATTTTAGTTCTATCTTGCACTTCACCAAAAATTCGCGTAAAATTTAGCTACTTACCGAACGGTGGTTACCGCTGCTAACCACTTTGAATAAGTACACTTATTGTAAAAATTTTAGCGAATTTCAGTTTGATTCTATACTAACAGTAATATAATACGTATTTTGCGCAAAAATAAACGACAAAATATTGTATTTGCTTACCAGAAAAGAAAAAACTTTCACACACACTCACGACTTTGAATTTCGCGATTTCGAATGAAATTTTATAACTGTAAACGACAGTTGCGGTAGTTTGTTTCAAATATTTTTTTGACAAGAATTGCACGGCTTGTTTATTTACACATTTCAACACACACTGTTTCCGTAAGATGGCGCTGTCTTTAATTACACGTCAAAATTTAGGTGGTTGACTGTGGTGGCCATAGATTCAAATGTAGCATGCTCATGATGCAATAATACAAGGTGGTATCGGTTGTGACCGCTCGATTTGATACTGTCTTAGCTCAGTAGAATAAGAAGAAAAATGGGAGTAAATTAATCCCCGTTTGGGGGGAAAATATAAAATTTCATATTTTCTTCGAAACAAAATTTGCTTTTGTAAATAAACAAAAGGAAATATGATCTTTTTGAATTATTTATTGCAAATTTTATTAAAATGCTAGTATGCAACGAAAAAGAGTAAAGTTATTAAGCACAAGGTTTGTTGAGTTTATTTTTCGTTAATTTACTATTAATCTCCGGTTTGTTTATTTTAATGTGTGGTGACTATGGTTGCCGTATTTAATTTTTCGTTTGTACCATAATTGTCCTTCAAATATACCAAAATAGATAAAAATGCAGCATGCTGAAATGTTTTTTGCTGACGCTGTCAGTTTTGGTGGGTTGATTGTTGAAATTAAAATTTTATAATTTTAAAGGTACATTTGTAGCTGTATCTATTTAACTTTTTTTAGATCACTGATGGGTGTTTGGAGGAGACTCTCTTACTTTTGAATGCGTCATCATGTGGTAAATAACACAAATAATTTAATTAAACGTTTTTCTTATCAAACAGTATTCAATTGTATAAAATGCCAAAATGGAGAAAATGTACCAAACAGAAAGTAAATTGCCAAATGAATCACCACAGTCGCCACGTGGAAGTGATCAGCTGTTTCGAAGGTTCCAATTTTTACAAATTCTGCATTCTCGTACTTCTGTGGATATTTTGTCTCTTTGAGGGCAAATGCTGCTAAATTCTCAGAATTTTTGCCGCCGTATAGTTTCGTCCGCTCAATACGAGGTGTGTAATTTATGGAGAAACATCTGACTTAACGATGCGTTCCGCTGACTACAAATATTTATACAACTCAACAGCTGATAGTTTAAACTCGATTTAACCCAGCCAGATTACTTTCATTAAGGGCCAGTTTTTCAGTGCCAGTTTAAACTTAGTTTAAGTAAACTGAGTTTAAATTCAACAGCTGGCTGACATTTGATTGGCTGATCTTAGTTTAAACCAGCCAGATCGGGCGTTTAAACTGAGTTTAAAGCACGGCCGTGTACTGAAAAACTGACACTAATTTATCCTAAAATTTAATGGCTATAAAACTGCGTAATTAAAATACCAATTAATTTGAAAAGTTGAAAATTTAAAAAAACATGCAAATTGCAAAATTTTTGGAAATGCATCATCAAAAAATTTTTCTCGGAAACGGAAGACAAAAAAAAAAATCATCCAGTGCAACCCTGAGCATGCGTGCCTCCGAACTTACGTCAAAAACCTCTTTTTTCACGCCATCTGTGGGTCATTAGCGCTAAAATTGGAAGAATACATTCACCACCAGTGTTCGGACCCACCTCCGATAAATGAGGTATACTCGGGGTTTTGAAAATTTTTAAATCTAGTCCTCCGCTCTGCCAGACTTCTTCTACTTCGTTTTTTTACCTACAAAAAAACAACTCAAAACCAAGCTGAAAGTCTGGTACAAACTTGTGTTTTCCCGCCATCTGTGGGTCATTATCGTTAAAATTGAAAACAATTTTTCCCTACCAGTGTTCGAGCTCCACTTCGATATGAATAGATTTACTCAGGTTTAAAAAAAAGTTATAAATCGTCCCTCTCCTCCGCATGTATTCAAATCTATTCTGTTCTTTCACTCATGTTCTGCCCCTCTTGGGATACTTTTTGAGTTTTCACTCCCGAGTTTCATTAAAACATTGAAAGTTAAGCAAAATTTCACTGATAAAAAGAAACTCGTTCATAAAAATAAAAATTAGTCAATAAAGTACCTTTTTGATACATGAATATAGAACTTGGCGGATGAAGAATTTTTCTTAAGTTGTTAAGTTTCATAGACATCTGCTTATAATTTTTTACTTATATACGGCTAACACAACCTTGTTACATACACCTTGCTTGTACTGTTTAAAAAACCTCAAACCACAGTGTGGATAGCAATAGATTTGAGATGGTTAACTTTTTGGTGGGGACATGGTATTAGGGTTTATTTGCTTTTATGTAAGAAATTACATCGCCGTCGGAAATGCGTTATCTTGTAATATTTCATGCACGGCGAATTTATACAAGGGAACCGCAAACTTCGCCGAACTGAGCCAAGGCGAATTTATACAAGGTGGTGTTACTGGCGACTTTAGATTACAACAACAACAACAACGACATGTATTTTGTATTGCGGGTGTTATGTCAAATCTCAATTCGCCTCAAAATTTACATGTATTTTGTATTCGCTTTTGATGGGTGTGCTGTCAAATTAGTAAAAGCAAAAACAAAATACATGTAGGGCGAAGAAATCAGTTGATTTTACAACAACACCACCTTGTATAAATTCGCCTTGAACTGAGCGATGCGGTCGTCCACCGCTCGCCCCAAGGTGGATTCAAGGCGAACTTATACAAGGTGATAGCCAAGGCGAATTTATACAAGGTGGTGTTACTGGCGAATTTACATTTTCGCCGCGGTACTTCCTAATGTCAAAATGATGTGTTTCTTGTAAACAAGGCGAATTTTCAGCAAACACATAATTTTGACATTCAGAAAATCTAAATTCGCCAGTAACACCACCTTGTATAAA